GCTTCTACTAGCTGGTTGAGGATGCTCTGCCATCAATTGCATAAACAGGTACAAAACATTATTAGCAATCACCCAAGTAATTTGATCTCCAGTGTGGCATCTGTGAGGAATAGGCCCACGTTGATAATGCTCTTCATAACTGTAGTGATTAGGCTGCTGGTGTAAATAGAAATACAAAGCTTCAAAACCAACTCTTCAAAATTCAGCACTGAAAAATGTATCTGGAGTATATGATGACTTTATTTATTTCCTTCAGTCTAGACATTATTAGCAAAACATCACTGATAAGGTTTAATCTTTATTTGATGCTTGTATATATTTAATAGCTTTTAATAACTAGGCCATTCTTATTTCTGACAGAGAAATGAAGAAACTTCTTTTTATTGGAAAGAATAATTCCTGATGCATTTTGCAAAGCAAGAACATAGAACACACTTATGCATGTGACAGACGTGTCCTGAATTCTCCTGTTAAAAGCAGCACACCTCTTCCCAGACAGTTTAACAGGCACCGGTTCCTGTCCCAAGCAATATGGATGTGCGGGTCATCTCCTGTGACTTCAGCCTGCTAGACACCGAGTGCTCAGGACCAGGCACTCACCACACCTGATGAAGAGGACATGGGCACTTACAGAAACAACTCTTCCATCCAGAACAGGTTTTTAAAGTAGGTGGGGAAAATTACCCATCACTAACAGAGAAATTATGCTCCTAGTGCTTTAAATGTAGGAACTATCAACTCATTTCATGTCTATCTGTCTCAGTTTGCTTTAGCTGGGTAAGTAGCCTCAATGATGAGAATTCATATATGCTAATAATTGTTTGTTTAAAAAAATCAGTGATTAAAAATTCAATTGATTACTAATATACGTAAGTTGTTGGAAGTACTCAAGTAATATTATGAGACTACGAAAATATTTGCTAACCTGTTTGGTAATTTGTAAAAACACAGTATTTATGACAAATATGACTTATAACAAAGTAACAGAAAGACTATGACTTACCCAAAATACTCTAAAGTAACATTACTGACTCTCTACCTTTCTCCTGGTTACCCAAGGAATTTAACTACCTTCTTATGCTATTCCTTGCAAGACCCCTTTGTTCCTTAAATTTGCAAAATAAAATTTCTCTTCTCAATGTTACCTAGAGCTGAACCACTTTTTCTTACAGGACTTCTTGCACAGGAATTACGTACAGAGAAAAAGAGCTACATACTGAAGACCGCTGCCATATTTACTTAAGCCTGTAGACATTTATTAGAACCTATCAGAAAAAGGTTTGAATTATAAGGAACATACACTTATCTCACCATCACTTTTCAGCTGAAGAGTCAATCAGCCAACTGAATGTACGAACAAAGATTTATATTTAGAGGACTGAATAGAAAAAGTTTACAGTTAAAGCATCAAGTCCTTAAAATTTAGAAAATGCCAAAGGTAAGACTGTCCTCTTCTCAGAAAAAGCTAACTGTTTTGACTGAAATTGCCCTATCACAGTAAGTCTGAACAATATGCTGAGCACTGAAAGTTCATCCCAAATATTTTAAATTTGGCAATATTCTAAGGACCTGATAACAATGCAAATATGAGGCAACCAGCTCCTCCCACAATTAACTTTCCCTGCTTTACTACTATTGTTTTAGTTGGATGAAGAAAGTCAATACTTTTCCAATGAATTAACTAACTTGAGGATATGCCTTAATCTTTATGTTACATACAGTATTCTATTCCAGCACATTCCTTCTCTGAAAAAAAAAAAAAAAAAAAAAAGGATTATCAGTCATTTCCTGTGAACTGGAAAGAAATCCAGACTTGAAAGGCTTGCAAGAGCAATTTAATATTGGAGCAACTGCACTGTTCATTTTCTGTATTCATTTCTCACCAGCCGAGTTAAGATCTCTTATGTGCAAGGGAATCTGTTTTTCACAGGTGGGTCTAAAGGTTTTCGTAGGGAAAGTCCAAATCATTCAATTTCTTGTGGAATTACAAAGAATAATGCAGCTGAGAACAACAACAACAAAAAACCACAACAAAAAACCCAAACACACAACCAAACCTCTTTCTTCATCTGAACACATGTAAATTAACTTTCAAGAAATATAACAAGCAATGAGTCTTTCCTCTCTACTGGTTTGAGGTTTTGAGAACACCATGCTCCGTGGGCCAGAAACTGAGAAATCAGAAATAAGCAAACTTAATTTGAATCTGTGTTTGCATCTGTTTTCAAAATGCCTTTTTTCTCACTTTGCAACAGGTAATACAAGGCCAGATTTACTGATTTCACTTTCTATTTGTATGTGGAGTAACGCAGCATCAGCTGACAGAGTCAACCACACGTATCCAGGGCACGCGAAGCATGGGAGAACAGCTTCTCCTCTCTCTGAGAGTATCCAGAGAAAGCGTATTTGAAGGAAGGTTTATTGGGCCTTTAAAGACTTTTAAGGCATATTGCAAAGAAACCTTCCTATGAATATGTGAGAATGAACAGAATGAGAAAACAGTAAGAATAATATTGAAGGTTAGTTAGCTCGAGATACAAAGGTTAGTTTTTCCAAAATAAACGAAATAAACTAAAAAAATCTGTGGAACAATATAGCAGTAAAAAGAGAGGCTACTATTTATTGTATAAATTAAAGATATTCCAACTACAAATTTATTTTAATTATCTACGTGTGGCAATAGCATTTTGTATTACTTGATTTTGTTAGCTGGGTTTCTTCCTCAAAAAATGAACTTCAATCTGCAGAGACTTTAACCTTAACAAGACTTCATACATTAGAGTTCTTGAATAGACCACTTCCTTAAAAATACATGAAGCTCAAGTTTTAGAAGATTTTTGTTTAGCCTCTGACCTTACAATTTACTCTGAGGTCTAGTCCTAAAGAGATACATGTATTACTACACTTATGTCTCAGAGTTAGCAATAACAACTCACTATTTTCTTAATAAGAACAGTGACCTCAGACTGATTTTTCCTCTCCATTTTTATAAGAAGATTCTTATGGTGAACTATTTATGTTTTAAATTCAGTGTACAATGTATGGACATCCAAATCTCAGCTTTTTAACACCACTGGCACATAATTAAAGACACAAACCAAGACAAAAATCAGCAAACTGGTAACAATTCACCAATGGAAGTCATTATCTAATTATTTTAAGGTCTTGAAACTTACAACCCCGCAGTACCTTGCCAGTAGATTTGCAGAGCCCTAAACAAATGTCCCTAGTTGTTGCAGAGATAAATGAGTTTCACAGCCAACAAATACATGCTGGTTTGGACCAAGCTGTGAGAGGACTACAGTCACAGATTCAAAGGGTTCTTAAAGAAATGGTGCTGCTGGCAACTCACTTTCTTACACACCAGTGACCCTCCAGGACTGAAACTTCAACTGATCTCAACTGTCTCAGAACTGACACCAAATATGTACAACCCCTTATGTTAAAAGATCTATCACATATAGGGCTTTGTCCTCAGACACAGTAAATCCAAAACACTTTATATATTTATACACTTGTAAGCATGAACACACACATATTCACCCACATATGTTTCCTATGCAAAACAAAGTAGTATCATCCTATGCCAGGATTTCTGTTCAGCTTTATCATGTTCTTGATTTAATCCATACTTGGACCATGCAGGCTACAGATCAGTGCATTGGATTCATCAGCAAAAGGGTAATTTACACTAGCCATTTCTAGAAATAAGATGCTGATGTAATGGTTGTGTAAGTCTTTGCACATTTTCATTAATACCTCTGGTGGTCTGGGGTGTGCACAGAACGTGGTACCAGTGTGTAACTATCATTTTCATCTACAGCATTGGAATGGTAAAAAAAAAAAAAGTATGCATGCTTTTCCTTTATTGCAGATACACAGACTATAGGAGGATCTTAAAAATAAAAAAGAAAATCTGCATGCTATTGATTCTCCCACACTTATTACCGACTGTTATGTCTTCTACCACAAATATTCTCTTTGATGTTAGCAAGAAAGATGAACTGCAAAGGCTGCAAGAACGCTTATGCCTGTCACTGTCTTAATTATAAACTTGTCTGACTATAAACAAATGAAAAAATAAACTGTTTGTGTGCCCTGGCCAAATTCCTAAGGCTATAAAGTGAGCATTCCACTGTTTGTCGTAAGAAGCATTTTTATACTGCCATAAATGTAAACACCTGCAATATTAGGAACTGTACCCAATACACATTTAGACAACAAGATCTTTGACATGAATTTTAGTTATATAGATGACCTGAAACAGAAGTAGGAGAAAAAGATTCAAGCATACATGAAAGTACTGACACCCCTTGGAAAATGCTGTTTATATGAAATATTATGACTCCAGCCACAGAGAAGGTATCCTGATGACACCCCAACTACCTGTACTAAATTGATACAGTAATAAGGAAATAAACTGGAAGAATTTAATTCACCAAATAGAAGATAATGGAAACCACTACTGAATACAAAACAAAACCACTAATAACAAGGCAACAACATTAACTATACACAGTGCAAATATTTCAGCTATTTCTCAGGAGCTAAGCAAGCCAAAATATGTTGTACTGCTCAACAATTCATACTTGCTATACTTACACTAAAACTTATTTTTCATAGTTAAACATTTCTGTACTTTAACATATATTATGAAAAGAACAAAGAAAATATGTTTTAATTTTTGAATAGTAAACAATTTCTTCAAATATGTATGTATGTATCTATCTATCTTTAATCCTGGTAGTAAACTTGGGCTTACTGTTGTTTCTGTTTTCATTATTTGAACAAATATTGCCTTGAAATTTTCTTACATGGAATTGCTTCTGTAGACATTTCAGCATAGAAGTCAGTGTACAAACAGTATCTTCTCTGCCCTAGAATTATATCTTCATGCTTCACATCAGCTTTTGCTTTACAACTACGTTGTTTGTTTCTTTGTTTTTTTTTTTTTTTTTTTTTGTTTTGTTTTGTTTTGGTTTTTTTTTTTTCAATCTTACCCCAAGTTTCAGAAGAATCTTCTAGGAGTCCTATAGACAATGTGATAGAAAACTTCTACTCAGCTACTTTCATCCTGCATTTTGAATGACGGGTCAGATGAGGAAGAGCTATTTCACTGATAAGCTGTAATTCTTCTGCTGTAAATTTCACACTCCTTACAGGAAGACTACATCCAAGCTGATACACTGCAAAAATAATTAAAAAAAAAAAATAAATCTTTCACCATGCAGAAACATGTAAATATGTACCAACTGAGGCAGCAAATGTCTGTAAGGGTTTTCTTTTTTCTGCTTTTGTAACTCTTGGGCAGGATCATCAATACTAGCTGTAAAATAAAGGATGCCTGAGCTCTGCATTTAGATCTCAAGCATACAAAGAGGTATGTAGAGAAGTGTGAGTCCAAAAAAAAAAAAAAAAAAAAAATCAAAGTTTTACAGAAACACCAATTTTTTAAAATTGGGATTGGGTCCTATATCAGACTGTAGGCAGGGAAGAACAAGGCATTTTTAGTGCACAAATTTGAACTTTGCATGGGCAACAATTCTCAAACAATTCCCTATACAACGATTTTATTCTTTTTGTATTCTTTTTATCAACACGCTGCTAGATACTTCTCTATCTTAATCCATTAACTACATGGTTTCACTGCACACAACGACACTCTTTGTCCGGAGACTGCACTGTACCAAGAGGAAAATGCAACAGATTGAGCAGCGTGCACACATATTTCCAACTGCTCTCTATACAGTAAGACAAACTGTAAAAGAAAATAAGTTATCTGCACTGTAAAGCAGAACAGCAGTATTGTTTTGAACTGTACGCCGCATGCATTTCAGCGATGTGAAAAGGACACCTGCTTTTTGACTTACAAGTCATGTAGTCCGTAAAATAACGGAGTAAACCTGATCTGATGAATTGTCCAGTATAAGAGTAACATTAACAGTGTCTCAAGCTTCTTGCAGATTATTTATTACAAAAGTTTTCTAATGCAAAGAATAACCACGTTACAAACAGTGGCAATACCTCACTTTGTAACTGTACAGCCTGTAAATTCACACTGGAGATTTCCTAAGGACACCGCGCAGTGTTCAGGAAGCCAGAAATGGAATCAGCACCACAAACCTTAATCCAAGATAAAACTAATTAATGGCTGAAGAATTATCATGCTTTTTAACTAGGGAAGGGCCTCCTCTATAAAGCTCATCTCAGTAAAAATCCGTTCTGCAGTTTGAGAAAGAGGGGCCAAGCCCGGTGTGCTGAGACTCATCCCCATCTGCAGTGTGTATGTAGAAACTAGTCATCTCGGATGATTCAAATCTTGCAGAGACAGGAATTCTTGTTGCCCTGCTCTCAGAGACGCTTTTGGACAGCTCAAAGATTCCCTGAGCATTATTTGAGTATCTCAACAATTTAATCTTTAGTGGTTATTACAGTGCAAGATTTACCTTTAAAAACACTTGTCCCAGACAGGTTAAATATGTAAATAAAACCCCACTTATATTTAATGAAATTAAATGTATTTTATATTTAATTTATATGTAATGAAATTAAATATATGAAATATTAAATTACCTGTACCCATGTAGAACACACAAATACACAACTTTCTATTAGAAACATATATGCTGTTGTACTCAGCAAGCCATTTGTATAGTGGCAGGGTGATTAATTTCTATCCATACTTCTAATTGCGCATCTTAGAGCATTAACGTATACTTTAATTACTGTGCCAGGCAGATGAGCACATAATAGCAGCGATCATTTTAAAACTTTACAGACATGGTTCACTATTTGAAAAAACCCTTCTTAGATGAACACTTGCTTTACAAAAGTAAGATTGATCTTATCAATGTTGCTTAATTTTAAAATCAAAACACAAATTTCACGATATTCAGTACTGTTCTTAGAGCCTGGGTTCCTGCAGTTATGCAATTACAAGACACTTAATTTTTAAGACCAGGTATATCTCCAACCCTTGTGTTTCGTGCTTAAAACATGTATCTCAGAAGCTCAAAACCCATACAAAGTAAAAGAAGCTCTACAGTGTTTCAACATCTTACGGCATTTAAACTATGTTATGATTTTCAAATCCAGGCTAGTATTTTTATAAATTAATACCTGAAATTAGTAATGCCACACTATTAACCCAGGAATCTGCTGTGAAGGCTGAGGCCAGGCCAGCCAACAGCATCAGCTCCTGGCAGCGCTTCTAGCTGACAGTCAGCAAAAATACCCACATAGCTTAGACCAGCTCGGAAAGAGCAGCACTGGCTCACGTGCAGCCACCAAGCCTGTTGTGGTTACTGCCATCATGTGGACCTGCATTTGACAGCCCCAGCAACGTCCAGACAGGCCTCCTGTGTCACTCATCAGCTTGCTGAGCATTCCCACAACGTAGACAGATTAAGCAGGAGGACCCCCAAGACAGTCACGGGGCTGGAGCATTAGCCCTGTGAGAAGAAGCTAAGGAAACTGAGCTTGCTAGCCTTTCTGTACCTGAGGGGACGTTATTGAGAAGTCAGAGCCAGGTTGTTCAGTGGGGCATGGTGGGAGAACAAGAGACAACAGACCTAAGATGAAATACGAGGGACTTAGGTTGGAAATAAGGAAAAACTTTTCTGCCATGAGGTCAGTCCAGCAATGGAAGGTTGTGCAGTCTCCATGCTTGGAGGCTTTCATGACCCAACTGGATGAAAGCCCGAACAACCTGGTCTGATCTCACAGCTGACCCTGCTTTGAGCAGGAGGCTGGACTACACACATCCTGGGGTCCCTTCCAACCTGAAGAACGATGCTACAATCATTCTGCGTTGGTGATGACTGCTCTCTGACATATTCTCTGGAGCTAGTTTCTTCTCACAAGATTTTCATTTGCTCTGTTCACTCCTTAGAGTCCTTACTCTGAACACCCTTCAGGGCCCAAAATGGCATCTTACCTGATACCACTGCTTGGTTTTTTCTCTAAGAGCCAACTGTTCTTTCAGGCACTTGAATCCCAAAGTATTTTAGAAAATACTCTGAAATCCATGAGTTGATTCTGCACTGTAATTGTTACTATCTAATGAGTAACTCTCCTACAGTATCAACATGCAAAACAGAGAAGGAACAAAATAACTAAAAATTTTTCCTCGTCATGAACAAAATCCAACTTAGTTCAGGACATTTTCCCCTATCTTTTTAAAAAAGAAAAATACAACCTTGTATCTGACCTTGACATATCCTTTCTTTATGGGAGTCAAATCAGCTGCTAAAACTGCTGGTATAATAGTATTTGTATTTTTTTTCCTGCATATGTTCTACATTTTTAACTCCCAAAGCATACTGTAGTGACCAAGAACAGCTCTGTGCAGGCAGGCAGCTTCCATACATAACAGAAAATCAAAGCACATGCACATCAAGACCCATGAAATAGAACTCCACACATGTATCTCTTTTTAAGACTACTACAACACAGAGCATAGCAACGTAATTACAACAATATACAAAGGAACTGGGAAGCAACAGTGTTGAGCTATCTAGAACTTCAACTGTCTGACATTTGAAAATGCTCATTTGACTTTTACATGAGGTCTTAGGTATATATTGGTACACAGGGTTTACTATTCAAGTCTAAAAATAGTGCAGAGTGAACTCACTGAAAAAAACTTACTAGGAGTAGTAAGAAATACACACACAGTGGTAACAGGCCACCCCAAAGCACTTCTAAAACACGGTTAGCACAAACCTGCTATACTTTTATCAGAAGACCACCTTCCTAAAACAAATGATTTTCATCACTTCCTGGAGTGTTTTTGCTTAGTTTCTTTTTCTTGTCCAGCTGTGCCCTAACTTCATTTTGCTAGCATATATCATTTTCCCTAAGATTAAGTGGACAAATAAGGCTCCTACTTCTGGCACCAAGATATTACTGAGATCCATCAGCTATTACGGGGTTCCAAACTATGTCAAACAAATCCCCCAAGGCTCACTTAGGGAAAAAAAAAAATACAAAAACACAGGTCTAATCTTGCCAGAGTGTCTGTCTCTTACATTCACAGAAACCTGCCTCAGAAGAAAAAAACCCCAATCTTTATTATGTATGAGGTACAGACCATCTGCGGTGGACTCCGAGAGCCAACTTAAAAGCAGTGGGGGGGGGGAGGGCTGTGTTCCCAGCTGCATTCACAGTCAGGGAAGAGCTTGAGACTCAAACTATCTGTGAGGAGGAAAGATATGGTGGATTAGGATGAAGAAGGATATACAAGACCTGTCATTGTAAAGGATGGAAAAAAACATTGTTGCCTACCTACTGTGTGTAGGGGTATATGGGGAAGAGCTGGATGAAGACAAAAAAATCAGCCCATAAAAAAATGTTCTCTAGAAGCACTCTCCCTGTCACTGTGATGGAAGGAGCACACAGAAGAAGGGATGATAATATTATTATTCTGGTTGTAATATGGACCACTGATCTCCTCGTGACATGGGAAGTAAGAATGGCAATGGCAGCAAACTGGTAGCAACAAAGAATTTGAGGAGGCTTGCTTTTTTACTCTTTCTTTTAAAGAATTAAACACATCTTTCCATATTAGTCTTATAAATTTTCTTAGTTCTCGACACCTCTTTTCACTACCACCACTACACATATTCATATTAGCTATTTACTGTTATGCATGCCATTAGAGCTCAAAAACGTTTCATTTCTGAAAATGAAAAAATAACATTGTTTTTTAATTTTAACCACTGAAACTCGAGCTACATTTAACCTCCCACCAAAAAAAAAATCCCATGAGAACATTTTCTAACTTCTAGCAGCTTCCCTATGCATTTATGTGTTTGCAGTTCAATAAACAGGAGATAGTTACATTAGCTATAAATCAACTGCGATTAGGTAAATATGAGTAAACTTTTCAAAGTGACTGTTGCTGACTCTGTCAGGAAGCAAATCTATTTACATTTCTATTCAAGCCAAAACCATCACAAGTATTTGTCCTGTTATGTAAAAATTTGCTGGTGTTTTAAACCCTGGTTTCACTGATACCCCTGCCTAAAACTCCACTCACCTCTCTGCAGCCAGGATTTCAACCGAAATTTGAATCTATATGGGGGCTGATCCTGTAAATACTTACCCATGACAGACGGGGCACTGACATTTGAGGTCTGGTGAATCTTGCAGTCACACACTGAAGTCGCCTTTCCCAGCGGTCTGC